TTTTTTTTTTTTAAAGATGACCGGTAAGGGGATCTTACCCCTTGACTTGGTGTTGTCAGCACCACGTTCTCCAAGTGAGCTAACCGGCCATCCCTATATGGGATTCAAACCCGTGGCCTTGGTGTTATCAGCACCACACTCTCCCAAGTGAGCTACGGGCCGGCCACCTGACTGGATTTTTTATATTAAGGAATTTATTGTTAATCATTAATTTTTTAAAGAGTTCTTATAATATGGAGATACATATTGGAATATTTTGGGGTGAAATAATTAGATGTCTGGGATAGGCTTCAAAATCATTCAGTGGGGGAGGTGGACAAAGGGCTGTGATATGGTAGAGATGAAATATGATTAGCCAAGTGTTGATAATTCCTGAAGCCAGGTGATAGGAGTTTATTCTACTATTTTTCTATTTTTGTATATGTTTTAAATTTTCCACAATATTAAGAAGTAAAAATTATTGAATAACAAAATGCAAATGATTTTACAGCAGAAATAGTATATATACTATGATTATAAGTATGTAAAAATAGGAATGAATATGGAAGAGGTAACATCATTATCTTGGGGTGGTAGGATGTGGTAACTTTTCCTGATTTCCAAATTCCCTGTAGTATTGTAAATTTTACATCTGTATTTTCACAAAAAGAATGGGAGTGATTGTGGCCCATTCCACAACCTCTCCTTACACGGGCCGCCCTTTCTTACCATGTCACTATGTGAATATCTACGTTAGCACGTATCTTAGAATTGTGTGACTCCTTGGCTGTGTGCTCTTTGAGGATCTAATGGATAGTGCCAGACACATGATTAGTGCTTGGTAAATGTCTGTGGTCTGTACTGGTGCAGGTAAATGGCACCAGTTCCTGATGAGGTTAAATACAAGGGATGTGGAAAGGTCCTTGATCAAGAACCTGGTATCATAGAGAGCAGGGTTAAGATAGAGGAAGTGAGGCAGCTACAGGTTGAAGCCATTCACTCTATTATCTTGGGGTGGTAGGATGTGGTAACTTTTCCTGATTTCCAAATTCCCTGTAGTATTGTAAATTTTACATCTGTATTTTCACAAAAAGAATGGGAGTGATTGTGGCCCATTCCACAACCTCTCCTTACACGGGCCGCCCTTTCTTACCATGTCACTATGTGAATATCTACGTTAGCACGTATCTTAGAATTGTGTGACTCCTTGGCTGTGTGCTCTTTGAGGATCTAATGGATAGTGCCAGACACATGATTAGTGCTTGGTAAATGTCTGTGGTCTGTACTGGTGCAGGTAAATGGCACCAGTTCCTGATGAGGTTAAATACAAGGGATGTGGAAAGGTCCTTGATCAAGAACCTGGTATCATAGAGAGCAGGGTTTAGATAGAGGAAGTGAGGCAGCTACAGGTTGAAGCCATTCACTCTGAGAAGTGGCAGTTCTGGGAAGGGGGAAGAGAATGATGGCTGTGGGGGACTCGCGTCGCGGCCGCACAGACGTGAAGCTCTCGAGGCGGAGGACTCCCGGTCGGCGCTCGCGCTCGCGCTCCTGGTCTTCGGCTCCGGCCCCGCGCGCCGTGGAGAAGTGGGAGCTGATCCAGAAGGCCGAGCAGGCCGAGCGCTACGACGACATGGCCACCCGCATGAAGGCGGTGACCGAGCAGGGCGCCGAGCTGTCCAACGAGGAGCGCAGCCTGCTCTCGGTGGCCTACAAGAACGTGGTCGGGGGCCGCAGGTCCCGAGGAGGGTCATCTCGAGCATCGAGCAGAAGACCGACACCTCCGACAAGAAGTTGCAGCTGATTAAGGACTATCGGGAGAAAGTGGAGTCCGAGCTGAGATCCATCTGCACCACGGTCCTGGAATTGTTGGATAAGTATTTAATAGCCCATGCAGCTAACCCAGAGAGTAAGGTCTTCTATCTGAAAATGAAGGGAGATTACTTCCGGTACCTTGCTGGAGTTGCATGTGGTGATGATCGAAAGCAAACGACAGATAATTCCCAAGGAGCTTACCAAGAGGCGTTTGATATAAGCAAGAAAGAGATGCAACCCACACACCCAATACGCCTGGGGCTGGCTCTTAACTTTTCTGTATTTTACTATGAGATCCTTAATGACCCAGAGCTTGCCTGCACATTGGCGAAAACGGCTTTTGATGAGGCCATTGCAGAACTTGATACACTGAATGAAGACTCAAAGACAGCACCCTCATCATGCAGTTGCTTAGAGACAACTTAACATTTTCAAGGATACACTTTGGGAGGGTTGACGGTCTTTGGGGCTTTGAGAGAGTCTTAGTCAAAAAACTCTTGTTTGAGGAATTTACTGCTTTCAGCATTACATTTTGTTATAACAGAACTTGATATAATTGTCTAATCTAGAAATAGTGACTTAATATGACTCTTCTTTTTCTAGTTATGGACATCAGACAGTGCAGGAGAAGAATGTGATGCAGCAGAAGGGGCCGAAAACTAAATGCATACAGGGTGTCATCTTTCTTTCCTTCAAGAAACCTTTTTACACATCTCCATTCCTTACTCCAGTTGGATTTCCTATAGCAAAGAAACCCACTCATGTGTATGGAATCAACTGTTTATAGTCTTTTTCACACTGCAGCTTTGGGAAAACTCCATTCCTTGATTTGTTTGTCTTGGCCTTCCTGGTGTGCAGTTACTTCTGTAGAAAAGTATTAATAGCATCATTTCATATAAACATAAGTAACTTCCAAACACTTATGTAGAGGACTAAAAATTACCTGGCATTTAAGTAATCTGAACCAGTTCTGCAAGTGACTGTGTTTTGTATTACTGTGAAGATATGAAAATGTAGTTAATTACAATTTAAAGAGTGTTCTGCATAACTCCTTAATTTTTACATTCCCTCTCTCTCTCTTCTTTGGGGGTTTCCTTTCAGTAAGCAACTTTTCCATGCTCTTGATGTTTTCCTTTTTAGTAGGAATCCAGAAGTATTAGATTGAATGGAAAAGCACTTGACATTTCTGGGCTGGGGGTCACAAATTGAAATGCCTCCTATATCATATTGTGGAGGTTATGTATATCTGTGACAACAGGGAGTTTTCGTATTCACTGTTCATTTGCTGCTGTTTAAGTTAACAGCTTCCCTTCCCAATAAAAATTCACTTAACATCTCCTGCCTTTGTAATTCACTTCACTGTGTAATAGAAGTAGCATGTTGCTGCCAGACTATAGCATTGCTTTTGGCAAATTAAAGTGCATGTCATTTCTTAATACACTAGAAAGGGGAAATAAATTAAAGTACACAAGTCCAAGTCTAAAACTTTAGTACTTTTCCATGCAGATTTGTGCACATGTGAGAGGGTGTCCAGTTTGTCTAGTGATTGTTATTTAGAGAGTTGGACCATTATTGTGTGTTGCTAATCATTGACTGTAGTCCCAAAAAAGCCTTGTGAAAATGTTATGCCCTATGTAACAGCAGAGTAACATAAAATAAAATTACATTTTATAAACAAACAAAAAATAAAGAATGATGGCTCTGTATGTCGATGTTGAGGGGGGTGGGTAGGGATGTCTACACCAGGGGGCTACTGGAAGGAATGATCAGGGGAAGGAGCAGAGGCCCACGTTTGTGTGAGTCATCAGCTCCAATTAGGGCTCTGAAGGCTGATCTTTTCTTGGTTTTATTCCCCAGGCCTGGTGAGTAATGTGGTGTTCACCAGTCACACCGTGGAGCAGAGGCACCCTCTCCTTGTTCAGCTGCAGAGTCTCATCAGGGCTGCCAATCCCACTGCAGCCTTCATTCTTGCAGAAAACGGGATTGTCACCAGGTAAACTTCTACAGACTCCACTCCGCACGCAGGACCGGCCACTTTCTCAGATACAGCACTCTGGCTATAGCCCACCAGGTCTTTCTGTTGTATCTAAGACCTGGACATTTATAGAAGTCAGTTTTTGAAGTGCTTTTGATGATCTGTAAAAATCAGCAAGAAGAACCTTGTGTGTCAGTATCCTGTAGTGTTTTGAGGTATTCACATTCTCATCCCTTAAGGATAGAAGTCAAGACTCTCTCAATGTTCCTTGTGTTAAGTTGTGAGAGAAATGGCATAGAGAACACAGAACTGATCTCTTTACTTTATGGACCTGGGTCCAAATTACAAACCAGAAATAGAGAATTACTGATTCTGTGTGTGTATGTGTGTGGGTATATGAAGAGAAAAAACCTGGTCATGTAGCAATTTTGTTTGCTCAGTTAGGATACTAAAAGTTGTATGCCTTTCTATACAGTTTCTATTTGAGTCATGTGAATATTTTGTGTATTCAAAAATTAAATCAGCAAGGAGGGAAAAAACTAAATTAAATACAAACCAAAAAAATGAATCTATCTGTACATTAAAGTAATAACAACACACACACAAATTAGTTCAAGTAACTTTTGAACATAATCCGCTGTTGGAACCCAGATTCCAAACAACTTAACTGACTGGAGGAAGGAGGTTATAAATATGAAATGGGGAAGGTGAGCAAAAACCCTTTAAATGTTGAATTTGAATTGGGAACTTCAATATGGGAGGCGCGGCAGCGCTGCCGCCCGAGGGTTCAGATCCCACATACAGACCGGCTCCCGCTCACTGGCTGAGCGAGGCGTGGGAGCAACACCGAGGTTTGCAATCCCGTTGCCGGTCCCTGGTCCGGTACGGGGGCAACACTGAGGGTTGCGATCCGTTGCCGGACATGGAAAAAACAGACAAAAGACAAAAAAAAAAAAAAATGTTGAATTTGAATTGGGAACTTCAATATTAAATTTTTTGAAATGTATATTTCCTAGTTCTTTCTATTGAAAGGGACCAGAACAATAATAATACAACAGCATCATTGAACACCTATACCTCTAGATCTTGGTTTCTAAGTACTATTCCCCACCATAAGGTATCAGGACTCCTTGGAGAATTAGCTGATGGCATGTCAAGGGTAGGGAAACTACAAGGTGAGCCAGGTCCATTTTATGCCAGTAAAGCAAGGAGGTACTCAAAGATTAGTGGAGATGTGTCAAAAGGGAACTTAAGGGCCGAGCCCATGGCGCACTCGGGAGAGTGCGGCGCTGGGAGCGCAGCGACGCTCCTGCCACGGGTTTGGATCCTATATAAGAATGGCCGGTGCGCTCACTGGCTGAGCGCGGTGTGGGCGACACCACACCAAGGGTTGCGATCCCCTTACCGGTCACGAAAAAGACAAAAAAAAAAAGGGAACTTAAGAAGCTCCCACTAGTGACATTTGGGACAGTTTGAGCATAAGAAAGAACAATTGTATTAATATATTACATAATACATGCAATAAAATGAGTCCACAGTGATACCACAAAAGGGGGAAGGGATAGGATAGCAAAGCCCTTCTTTTAAAAAAAAAAAAAAAAAAAAACGATGACCGGTAAGGGGATCTTAACCCTTGGCTTGGTGTTGTCTGCACCGTGCTCATCCAGTGAGCTAACCGGCCATCCCTATATAGGATCCGAACCTGTAGCTTTGGTGTTATCAGCACCACACTCTCCCGAGTGAGCCACAGGCCAGCCCTCAAAGCCCTTCTTTACCAAAGAATGCCAAATAAATAAGGATTGATAGAACTAGAAGAGTCACCATTTTGTAATCTTCAGTCTAATATTTGATTTAGGAAAGGCTCATCAATGTATGCTAAAAGCAGCGAGCAAAAGATTATTGAGGAAAAGGATATTCACTGGTCCACCACCATGTAAAGTATCACTCCACAGACTACTTACTTCTTACAAAGAGGGAGAAGTACCTTTACAATGGAGAGGTCTAGCAGACACTGTGTTGCCAAATGATTAAACTTAGCAAGACCTATAATGGACAGACTGATATCATGTGTCTCATTGATGTGATGCAGTGGGAAGAATAACAACATCACCTGCTTATTAATCTTCACCAAAAATGTTTAACCTGTTCAGATCCCCGTGCCAGACAGCCGCAAAAAAAAAAAAAAAAGAAAGAAACCTTAATCTAATCATGAGGAAACAATCAGATCCAACTTGTGGGACACAAGATGCTGGCATGTACTCTCCAAAAATGTCAACAAACAGAAAGATGGAGGAACTGCTCCAGATTGAAGGAGAATAAAGATTCTAAATTTAATGAGTGATCCTTGATTGGATCGTGGGTCCCCTTCCCCCCCACAAAAAAGGGAAAATTTGAAAATGAATGTATATTAGATCAGTGCTTCTCCAACTTTATTGTGCGTGTGAATCTTTTAGGGATCTTGTTAAAATTAGTTTCTGATTCAGTGGGTCTGGGGTGGGATTCTGCATTTCTAACAAGCTCCCAGGTGATACTAATGCTGTTGTTGGTCCATAGTATTAAATTCCTTGGGCATGATATTAGTATTGTGGTTCTGTAAGAGAATGTTCTTGTTCTTAGGAGATGCATTACTGATATATTTAGGGCTGAAATATGATGCATACAAATGGTTTAACAGAAAATAATGTATGTGTGTTTGTATGTGGGTATGGGGGCATGGGGAGGAAGCAAAACATGCAAGTTAATAGCGACAGCCCTAATAAACGTGGGTCTTTGTATGTTTTCAAAGGAATGAAGACATTGAGCTGATTCTCTCAGAAAATAGTTTTTCAAGTCCTCAGATGCTACGATCTCGATACTTAATGTACCCTGGCTGGCAAGTATCATCATTCAAAAGTAGCTGAGATTTCTTTGTAAACCCAATGATTTATTTATTTACAGGAAAAAAAGAGAAAGTGAAAATATCAGATGTGCTCTACACAGGTGACACATGGCAGCTGGAACAGCCTGCCGTGTCCCAACAGCCACTGGCCTTGCCAGGAGCCTACTGCTCTATATCTTGGGCTCCAAATTGGTAGCCATCCTGGATATTGAGATTTAGGGAGTCATCCTTTAGGCACCAAGCACAACAGTATCCTGTATTTCCTCTAGCCTCTAGTGAGGGTGAGGTGGCTGGCATGGAACCAAGGAGTTATAACCTTCCCAGGTGAGAGAGTTGCTCAGGAGAATGCAGTTAGTGAGTCCTCTAGACTTCCCATGTGACAGGTAGGTTCCCTGCTGTTGTGGCCCAGGGAATGTTCTGTTCTCCACAGGCTGCCTAACAGACCGTGAACCTTTCCAGAGGGGAGAGGAAAAATGAGAGTGTGTCCAAAGTTCATTGTAATCATACTAATACCAGCGTCACTTGAGCACTTATTGTGTGCTACATTGTTCTAAGATTGTGCTCTCCAGCATGGTTGCTACTAGACAAATAGTACTTAATGAAATGTAAATGAAAATTAATAAAAACTAAATAAAATTTAGAATTTAATCTTTCAGTCACACAAGCACATTTCAAGGGCTTCATAGCTGCCTATAGCTAACAGCTACCATATTGGGACAGTGCAGATCCAGAACATTTGCATCATCATGGAAAGTTCTGTTGGATGAGGCTGTTCCAAGAGCCTTGCCTGTGTTATCTCATTTATCCCTTACACCAGGCCTATGAAGTGGATTCTGTTATTACTCTCATTTTTTATAGATAAGGTAGGCAGCAAAGAATTAAATGACTTGTCCAATTTACAGCTTGTAAATGAAAGAGCTGGATTTCAAACCCACTTTGTCTGGCTCCAGAGCCTGTTCTCTGAACCACTGTGCTGCACTTGTCCTGGTATAGAATGAACAATTAGTTTCTGTTCTGTTGAAGATTTAGAGGAAGACAGTTGCTAAAGTCTGGCCAGAATTAATCTCTCATGTTTATTTGGATTATCTTTGTTATCCTTACTCACTTCTCTCAGGCACTTCTCTACATCCTTCACACCACCAATTTTTCGTACTAACAAAAAACCAATCATATTACACTGTAAAAGACAAAAAAACAAAAAACCCAGAAGGTCAGTATGTAAAATTGAAGGTTTTCAGGCATATTCTTAGTAGGATCTTCTGTTTTGAATCACATCATACTTGCTTAAACTTAATACTTGGGTAAGTGGGTCATTCCTTATTCCTGAACAAGGCAATTATATATTAGCTAAAAGGAAACAGATGGAGCTTCTGGGGGGATCCCTCCTCTCCAATGGCTGCAGCTACTGTCCCTCTTGCTGCCTGCATCTCTGGGCCTGGGCCTGAGGCTCCTGCAGTTGCCACCTGTGTCTAGAGAAGCCCCCTTGTCCAGTCTACTGATTCATGGTCAGCATGGCACATGGGGACCTAGCTCAGGGTGCAGACTTACCTGGAGGCAGACTGATGCAGGAGAGAGCATGCTGCGAGGGCTCATTAGAAGAGTCTATGAATCTAGAGTCTGAAACCTTTCCCTTACCAGAAAGATCAGTCCTTATAGAGAATCAGAGATGGAAGAATCTCAGAATAATCCTTTGAGCCCTCCCATCTGAGTCCATTCCTAGCAATCAGATAATTTAATTTTTTAACAAGATGGCAATCATCAGCCTCCTACTTATCGCTATACATTACCTCTCTTCCCACTTGGATCAGCGCCATGACCTCAGAGTGAATAGGCTTTAGTTCCAGGATGCGCTCAGCTCTGTGATGTGCACAGATCCTTGGCCATTTCCCTCCCACAGCCCTCTCTGTTCTCATTGACCCCACTTCCACTTTCTCTGGTAGAACGACTTGTTTCTAGTCTGGGCAGAAACCTTGCTCTCTTCTCCTGGCCCCTCCAAATTCCCTTACGGATTCAGACACCACAGAAGCCAGAGAAGCCCACAGTCTCCAAATGACTTGTTTGGATGGGGAGAGAACATGTCAGTCTTGCAAAAATATTATGCCACCACCTCACTTTAAAGAAACCACAAAGAGTAAGGCACTTTCAACCATCTAAAATTCAAGACTGCAGTACTGTTTTTAAATAAAGGAAACTAATAAAATACAATAGACTGGAGGGAAATGTTTGTGTCAGGCTTGGCAAGGGATCAATATAATATTTGGGAGGCTTGATATTTAAGAAAAGTAACTCAGTCCATATAGATGTTGACAGTTAAGGGCAAATATAAATAGCAGTCATGAAAACAGAATCCAAATCAGTAATATTCAGAAATGTAAAATGGTGTCTCGTTTTGATTGACACCTATTACATTCACCCAAAAATATCTATAATATTCATTGCTGGAGAAATGGTTGTGAAACTAATATACTCATCAACTGCTGGGGCAGTGTAAGTTATTACACATGAGATGGTTACCCCCTTTCTTGGAGTGATTCCAATCATGAGGATTCATCTCGAAGGAATGACAATTCCACAACTGTGGAAGTATGTGGGGGTTCATTATGTATGGTCTGCTAAACTTCCCACAACATGATGGTGAGGCATAGTTGAAGCCCTGAAGGGAGTGGGAGGGGATCCTAAGCAACAGCCCCCACTGTACCAGGAAGGACCCCCAGCCTCAGGTGAGCACTGGCAGGCTTCAAAGGTAGATAAGGTCTTTAACTTCAAAGAACTGCTACTGTAAGGATGTGAGACCTTTGTCCTCAGGAAGCCCCTGCTCTAATGGGCAGACATGCTTTCTAATCTCAAGGTGAAAGAGACATATACACATTTAAACAAGTGTTCTGTTTGCAAAATGGTATACGTGTAAGGGGGAATTCAAATATTATAGGATAAATGATACATAGTTACGTGCAAAGTAGTATATGACACTCAAAGTCCCAATTATTTGTACTTATAATTTTTTAAACCTCTTAAGGTATGACGGTAAATTTGATGCTGGATCAGTCTTCCCACTAATGGTTCAGATCTGTGTATGGTTTGGCCGTCCCTTGGAGAAGAATCGCTTTGTGGCCAAGTGTAAAGGTAAGCCTTGGCTGGGACATGTCCCAGACCCTGGTAAGAGTGCCCCAGGTTGTCGCTGCTTCCTGGCACTGTTTCAGTATCCATGTGCTGTCTCTTCTCCTCACCGTTTGGGACCAAATGCAGGCAGAGTCTCCTACCTCTGATTGTGGGTGGCCACCTCATTTGATCTCCACTCCGTTGGAAGAGTTTTCCTACCCCTGGGATCAGTGGCAGAGCCACTGGGAAGCAGCGGGGGGTGGGGGTAGAACCTATGAACCCTGGACCCTGGAGTAGGGTCCCTCCCCAGTCCCTAACCCTCTCAGCTGTGCTGCCCCAAACTTGGCCTCTGCTCCCAGGTGGGTGACACCCCTGTCCTCTTCCTCCACCAGCAATTCAATCGTCCATCAAGCCAAGTCCCTTCTCTGGAAACATCTACCACATCCTGGGCAAAGTGAAGTTTTCAGGTAAATGGGGGCTTAGATTAGGGAGTCCTACACTGTGGAGTACTTGCAGCTCATGATATGCATTCGTAGCCTCCACCAGTGCTTTGCAGACCACCAGTGCCTCTCAGACTTTCAAAAACCCTCTCCTCTGGGCCTTACGCCGTCAGGCTCTTCCTTCACCCTTTTCCCGCAAGTACCCACTTTCTCTAGGTCCTTCTGCTCTGCTCTTCAGGGGAGGATCTGCCCTCTTCCCCCTGGATGATCTGCTCAGGGCCTCTCCTCACAGCTCCTGGACTTCCTCATTCCAAAGACTTGCACCCCACCCTCTTGAGGCATCTATGGCCTCTTCCTGGACCTATCACCAGGAGCTGCCCCAGTGCTGGGCTCTCCAGGTCCAGATCTTTTCTGACCAAAGTCGTTCAGCCTTCCATTTGCCTTCTCTTCTGTCCAGTACAGCTGTTTATCAGCCTTAGTCCTCTGGAGCCCTTGCAACCTGATACCTGGTAATCTCCTGGGCTTGGGATCCAGGAAGTCCTCAAAACAAGTAGGAGTTGGCTATCTCAACCTTGAGGAAGGGGAAAATATTCCAGGGAAAAGGAACAACATTTGCTATAGTCCAAAGGCAGAAAGGCATATTTCAGGAACACAGAGAGGGTTGACTATGGCTGGAGCATGGGGGAGGGAAGGTGGTATGTCTGTTAGGGCATCTTCAGCTGTTATAACAGAAAACCCCAACTCAACTAGCTGGTGTTAGCTGTATAACAAGAAGTCAAGCGGTTGGGCAGCACAGCAAGGCTACCGAGGACCCAAGTAACGTGTGTCTGTGTTCTTCCATTCTTGGTGTGTCAGCTTGCCCTCAGGTTTCCGTCCCTCATGGTTGCCAGGTGGTACTGCAGGTCTAGGTGTCAACCAGACACTCTCCAGCCAATGAGAGGCTGACTCTTCCTGTGGGTGTCCTTATCAATGGAGACATCTTTTCCTGAAGTGCCTCCTCCCAATTCCTCTGCTGGCTTCTCCTCTCATTGGCCAGGATTGAGTTGCCAATGCCTCTCTGAACCCATCTGCCATGGAGGTATTGATATTGGAGGAAGTGGGGGATGCTGGGTAGTCAACCGTGAGTGTCTCTGGTGGGAGCCACTGAGGGTTTAAGGATGGGCCAGAGAAGCCTGGTATGGGAAGAAGATGGTCAATGTGACAAAATTGTAGAGAGACAGGAAGAGTAAGATCTAGCATTTTACAGCAATATAGGGAGACTGAAGTCAACAATAGATTACTGTATAATTTCAAGTAGTCAAGAGGCATTTTACAGCAATATAGGGAGACTGAAGTCAACAATAGATTACTGTATAATTTCAAGTAGTAAAGAGGAATATATATATATATATTTTTAAAGATGACCGGTAAGGGGATCTGAACCCTTGACTTGGTGTTGTCAGCACCACACTCTCCCAAGTGAGCCACAGGCCAGCCCTAGTCAAGAGGAATTTTATTTTTTTATTTTATTTTTTTTTTAAAGATGACCGGTAAGGGGATCTTAACCCTTGACTTGGTGTTATCAGCACCACACTGTCCCGAGTGAGCCACGGGCCGGCGCAAGAGGAATTTTAATGTTCCCAACACAAAGAGGTGACAAATGTTTGAGGTGATGGATATGCTAATTACCCTGATACAATCATTGCACACTGTATAAATGTACCCACATTTATCACAATGTACTCCATAAATATATACAATTATCATGGGTCAATTAAGAAAAAAAAATTTTAGGGCCAGCCCGGTGGCGCACTGGAGAGTGCGCCGCTTGGGAGCGCGGCGGCGCTCCCGCAGAGGGTTCGGATCCCATGTGGAGACCGGTTCCCGCTCACTGGCTGAGCGCGGTGCGGGTGCAACACCGAGGGTTGCGATCCCGTTACCGGCCAGTAAAAAAAAAAAAAAAAAGAAAAAAGAAAAAAAAATTTTAAAGAAAAAAATTTCAGAGACAGAAGTAGATTAGACTGGGAGGAGGGAATAATGAGAGGTTAGTGTTTAATGGCTACAGAGTTTATGTTTAGGATGAAAAAAAGTTTTGGAAGTAGATATAGGTGATGGTCACACAGCAATGTGCATGTAATTAATTCACACAGTTGTATGTTTAAAAATGCTTAAAATGGAAAACCTTATGTTATATTTTACCACAATTTTGAAAATTAATAAAAAAGGATGACGTCATCATGGTTCACATGGGAGAACTAGATGACATAATCTGTATAAAAGAATCTCTGAATGTCATTAGCCCATACCTTTTGCTTAAATTATATTATTCTATCTGAGCTTTGGCCGCTTCCCCACATTCCCTTCCCTCAGGCTCCCACAGTCAGTCCCACCTGCTTCAGAGATCCTGATGCCTTCGTTTTCCCTCTCACCCATCACCTCTTTTTTTTCTTTACTTAGATCTGCTATTGACCCCCTTCTTGTTCAAGGTTAACCTATCTTCGTTCTGGATCCTTTTCTCATCCTGCCTTTTGGTGGGACTTTGCCCTTTTCTTGTGTCTCCAGTCACTCCTAGCCCCCAGCTCTTCAGCATATAACCTGGGTACACCTTTCCTTTGCCTGTCTACATGGCCTTCCTGCAGCACTGCTGTACTGTTGACCATGCCCTCCTCCCTTGGGATCTCAGGCCTCTGCTGAGACCGCCTCTCCCCGTGCCCACCAAGGGGGCTTTCTTTGCTTCTCCTCAGCCACCTCTTCCATGGAGGCGACCCCAGCTACCACCACCTAACTACATGGATGTCTCCCACTCAGGGTCTTACAGTCTTTCAGATACCACAAGTGCAGAGTAAAACTCCTCCTCTTCTCCTACCTACAAACCTTTTCTTCCCCTTGTATTCCCCCTCCAGGTTAATAGTGTCCACCTGCTCACTCAGATCAGCAAAGCTAGAAACTTCTTTTGCTCCTCCCTCTCTTAGTCCATTTTTTTCTAACTCACCACCAGTCATGTCAGTTCTCTCACCTGCATTTTCTCATGAATCTGTCCTGACCATCTGCATTGTTACAGTCTTAGTGTAGCCTTATCCTTTTGGGGCAGCATCTCAGGGACTAACATTGTTGTCCTTGCAGACTCTGAGAGGACCATGGAGGTCCGCCACAACACTCTGACCAACTCCTTGAGCATTATGCCAGTTTTGGAGGGACCCACACCACCACCCGACTCCAGAAGCACACCTCCAGACAGCAGCGGGCAGCAGGAGTACTACCTTGTATTCATTGGCTGCTCCCTGAAGGAAGACAGTGTCAAGGACTGGCTGCGGCAATCAGCTAAGCAGGTAGTTTCTGAAGCCCAGACAGACTTGGCACAGATGTGACCAGCACAGCTCAGGGCCACTGCTGTTCCCAAGAAGCCCTTCCACTGCCTCCCTGATGCCTCCCTACTGGTCTGCACCTCACAGGCTCAGCCAGCACCTTCAGGGATGCTTTGTGAGTGGGAGGAAGCCACGCGGGACAAACTCTAGGCAGACATGATATGTTCTCTACTCCATGAGTCCAGGTTCTCAGCAGGCTTTGGGTACTAAGCCTTTTGTCACAGCCTCGGGTGTTTAGCTCATCCTAGAACTCTGGGAATAGAGTTGGCTGGCACCTGGGTCTTTTGTAGATGCTCACTGGGGGCCTGTCTTTATACTGAGGTATGATTGGCCTCGCCTGGAATAGCTCCTAAATGGTGCTTGACTGTGAGACCTCAGGCTTTCCCTTTGACTGCTTGTCACTGGTGGAACTTAGAGATGAGCAAAAAGGCAGGACCATGCCCATTTACAGAAGCACTGGGCTCTCCTCTGCTGCTTGTTCCACACTGACCCGCAGGGCTCTGTGGTGGGAAAGAGGTCTTCTCAAGGGGCAGATGGCAGGGATATTATGTCCAGGCCATGGCAGCATGCTTTCCCCTCCACTGGGATCTTAGTCATGTAACCAGCCCCCAGAGCTCTGAGCCCTCACCTACCCATATACTCGATCAGCTCTGTTGGGATCTGACCCCTTCCTACATCTCTGCACAGAAGCCTCAGAGGAAAGCCCTGAAGACCAGGGGGATGCTGACCCAGCAGGAGATCAGGAACATCCATGTGAGTGCCCTGCCTTGGGCTCTTCTCTCAGTGGCCCAAGGCTGTCCTTCTAGGCTTGTATAGCTCCATCTTTTGGATTCCCTGAGTGAGGGGGCTATTGTAGGGCATGCTGGAAGTTCTTGCTTCTCTCAGCTCATAGAGGAAAGCTGGCTAAAGCAATCCAGCTTTGCAGCCTCAGTGAGGAGGGGACAGGCAACCGCTGGTGAAACCTGGGCATGAGATTGAGTAGAGCCAGCATCTGTTGGGGGAGTGGGTGATGGGAGGCCCTGCCTTGTTACCCTGGTTCAAGCAGCTGCAGAAGACTTCTATCCAAGGTAAACCACACATAAACCAACGAGGGCCCAGGAAAAAACCATCTAGATCCAGAAGCTGCTCATGGAAGTTTGTGGAATCCTCAGGCCAGTACACAAGTCCTCTTGATGAACCCTCCCAAACTCCAAGCTGACCCCTATCTTCTGTCCCAATCTACACTCCCACTGGGGCCTTTTCCTGATGGGTTTGGGAGCGGAAGGCTAAAAGGAACAGAGTCCAGGCCCCAGGATGGGCTATGTCACCAGTCCCAGTAATGAGCAGGTGAGGCAGGAAAGTGTTCTGGGACTGCAGGAGCCCCTGCTTTGGACTTGAGAGCCCCTTCATAACCAGCTCCTACAGAGCCTGGATGCTCCTGGGGAGGACAATGTGGGCACCTCAGAAGGCAGTCCTTGTAATGCATGTTCCCCCAGAAGCAGACCTTGAACGGGGATTTGAATACAGGTAGTTTATTTTGGAAGTAAGTCAGGAAACACTAAGTAGGGAAGTGTGAAAGTTAAGAGAGGGAAGGGCAGGGGAGACTGCCAGGAAAGGATGTCGAGGGCTCGGATCCCCTAACTGGCCAGGTGACCAAAAAAAAAAAAGTGTTATTAATCCAGTACCACTGTGAGCATAGGGAGCTTAATCCCATTAGGAATGCCCAGAGTTCCTCACCTGAGAGGCAGGAGAGCCACCATCAGTCATGGCTTGAGGGTTGCTGGGAGGTGTAATGAGTTCCCTGGCGATATAGCACAGTAGGCTGTCCTGCTAGGGTAATAGGCTTGCTTATTTGTTTTTAATGAGCAAGTGGATGATAGGAAGTCATCAGATCATTCTAACAAGACTTTTCCTACAGGTGAAACGCCACCTGGACCCCCTCCCTGCAGGCTACTTTTATAATGGTACCCAGTTTGTTAACTTTTTTGGTGACAAGACTGATTTTCATCCACGTATCCTTGGAAGCAGCTTGGTCCCTGTGTGGAGGCCTGGGGTGGGGAGATGTAAGCTTGTCTGTAAAGTGGGTGTCTGCTGGAGCCCCACAGCCGGGCCCCTGGAGCAGGGTGGTCTCCACATTCCCACAGGCTGGGGCTGGGCACACACAGGAGCAAATCATGGGGGAAGACTTTTCATTTTGGCCTTTTAAAGTTATTAAAATTAGATTTCTTCTTCATTGAATGATTGCTAATGTTACTCTGTGGATTATAATTTGAATGCAGCTATGGTGACATTTTGAGTTCTCTGGTCATCAGAGTCATCATGATGTGCAAGTTGGAGACAACCTGATTACAATAGCTAATCTGTGAAAATATGGATAGGGCAAAATCGAGACATGGAGTTCTCTCTGTACCCTCTGTGCAGGCCGGGTACTCACTACCTCAGTGTTCCCCTCTTTACCTGCTCACAGGTCTCTCTGGGCCCAGGCAGGTACTCTTGTTCTCCAGGCACAGTGCTGTCTTCCTTAATGAGATGCCAGTCATGGATGAGTTCATGAATGACTATGTGGAAGAAGCCAACCGGGAAATTGAGAAGTATAACCGCGAGCTGGAACAGCAGGAGTATCACGACCTCTTTGAGCAGAAGCCCTAGAGGAAGGCTGGTGGCCCCTCCCTGAAGGGGCTATCTCCTTGGCTATGTGTGCTTGCTTGAGTGCATGTTGTCTTTATTCTCTATACAGTGCTGCAGAGCATCACCTACACCACTGATTTGGGGAAGGGTCCTCAAGGATGAGCAGACAGGAACTGCCTTGGGTGGGGAACTAGCAGTCCAGGAGCTCTGGGTCTCTGATAACTGTACCTCCTTTGAGCTGTTGAGGCACTGTGATGGGGAGAAGCATTTGGATTGTGCAGAAGAGCTGCTGGGACTTAGAAGGAACCCTGGCTGCCTGAACTGTGGCTGTGCCTGGAAGGCCAGCTACCTCAGGCCTCAGACACTGCCCCAGGAGATCCCTCATCCCTAATGGACTGCCTGACTCCCCTGCTTAGGCCCCTTCCGTTAAGGGAGCTGGTGGCTCTGCTGGCCCTGGGTCCAGTCTCTGGGGGGAGCAGCACAAGCCCTGCCCAAGCCCAACTCACAGAGCCAGGAGCTTGGGCTGAGATCAACAGCTTGTTCTGAAATGAAGGGATTTCCCTTGTGGACTAAACTGAGGGAAAAGGCATGTTGCTTTTCAGGAGTATGTGGCTTTTGAGTTGCCATAAGCAGTACTTTGCCCTTGTGATGGGTTTTTGAACTCTCCTCTGGCATCACTCGCGTTTCCGTAATTCAGGGACAAGAGCAAGCATGTTGCCCAAGCCCCATTGGCAGTGCTTTGCCTCACTGTTGAGGGAAGCATTCTGCATCTGGTTAGTCTTACGCCTGGGGTCTGATCACTTATGGGGTGTCCGTCTCCAGCACTTAGCTCTTCCCCCAACCTTGTCAAGGAAGGCCTGCTTTTTAGCTACAAAATTGAGGAAATTCATGCCCCCGAAGCATTTTTGCTGGCCCTGGATTTGTTTGGCTCCTGAGGACCAAGAATTTCAAAGAATTCCAATACCCAAGTTAGAATTCCAGTGGCTTTGTTTTCAGCTGGACCATAAAGCAGAGGGGAATTACAAGTATGTCCCATGCCTGACCTTCGTAATTAGTGTGGGGAATGGGGTGGGGGACACAGGCACTAATATTTAGGTGATGTCTGTCAGGACTTAGCGCCTCAGCTGCCTGGATTGTAAATGTTTTCTGAATCTCACATGTTTTTTGCATGCCTTAGGAAGAAGCACATAGGTGAAACCAGCAAAGTTTCAAAGTTTAGTAATGTAGAGGGGTTTTTGAGAAAGGCCCCTGGTGCAGGGGAGAGACAGGATGGAGCACATATGGTCTGTGCCTGGTCACACAGAGGCCTGCATGCAAGTAGCAAAGCAATTGTCAAGGGCTTGTCGGTAAAATATACTTGTATTGGAAAAAACTATTTGTATTTGAAGCCAAACGGACAAAACTCTAAATATCATTGAATAAGAAATCTTGCATCAAGAAAGGCTTCTGAAAAGGCCCATGTGCTCCATTCCTAGCTCCAAAAGCCACTGGTGACAAGGGCCCCACTGTGGAAACCCAAGTCTGGGTGTTAAGAAATCTTGCATCAAGAAAGGCTTCTGAAAAGGCCCATGTGCTCCATTCCTAGCTCCAACAGCCACTGGTGACAAGGGCCCCACTGTGGAAACCCAAGTCTGGGAGCCCCTGACTTCTGGCTGGCCAGAGGTCCATGAAGGGCCTGCCTCTGCTTCAGAATCAATAACATAGATCTTAAGTGCAATTGATGAATAAGCAATGAGTTACTGTAGCTTCCTTTAGCTCTACTGAGCTCTTTTTAAAAACTCAAACTTGAGCAGCCTCAGAAAAGGGAAAGGTGGGGTGGGTGGGTGGGGTTGTGGGAACCACAGGCCATTTCCTCCAGGTGGATTGCTGTGAAGTTTTAAATGATAGCTCTAGGTCTAGGAGCTCGAGCCGTTTTCTGGCTGCCCTAGCCTGGCAGTCTGGCTGCTGCACAAGAGTTTTTAAAGAGGGGTCGGAGCCCGCCCATAAGAGCGGGTCTTCCCACCACGTGGGGCTGTACTACGTGGTGGTTTTTGTTTCTGACAGTTGTCCATAGAAATGCTCTCTCACCAACCCGCCCCACTGTCCCAATTCCTCTTCTCTTAGAGGGAAAACTGATTACCTCAACTTGAATATGAAACTGTGATTGAAAAAAGTCAATACATTAGGAAGTATCAAAGCCAAAAAGGCAAAACTGGCTGAGGCCTCTATAGACGCTCCTCAGCCTGCTTGGGAGTGTGAAGGGGCAATTGGCGAAAGGGCATTCCTTGGGGAGCACTTGCTGTGCCCCCTGGTGAAGAGGCACACCAGCAGTGCACTGTGGCACTGTGTGAGCTCTTTAAGGACTGAGGCTGGGAGGATGCCTCTTCCTGCACTGCCCCTTTGGAAACCTGCAGGGCCTCTTGGTTCTGACTGTGAAATTTAATATCCACTAGATTCCTCCAGGCAGCGCTCCAGGTGGGAGAGCTGGGTCTTAGGCTGTGTCTAGAGGAAGGGCCATGACACTGTGTTTTAGCTTTTGACCTTAGAAGTGGATACCAGGGACCCGGTAAAGACATCAGGGATGGGTCCCTAGGGACAGGCAGAAGTCCTCCAGGGGCTTGCATGCTTTTTGCCCACTTTCCTGTTAGCAGCTTCAGTTTTATATCACCCAGAATGAGTGTGATAATGTTGAAGTCGCTGAAGTTATGGGTTATTTTATGTTTTGATATGGGATTTTTCTTTTTTTGATTGGAAGGAGGGGGCAGAAATTGGAGAAAACTGATCATCGTAGGAAGGGGCCACTGGCAGGAAGTTGAGTTGGCCCCCCTGAGCCCTTGGGGGCTATCTGACCTGAGGCCTGGACACTGGGCCATTCAGGTTGCAAGAAAAAGTTCCCTCCTAAATTCTATTAGGATTTTGGAGAAGTTTTGCACATTAATAAGCTCTGGATTGCTCTTTGGGCTTCTCAAAAGGGAAAAAGTTCAACTTAAAGATTGTAAACTGTTTAAGTATTCCAGCCGTGTTGCTGACCTAGTCGGACAGTTGTACCTCAAAAAGTATGTGAGAAATGGCTTCCTCATTGTCCCAGGTTGTCAAATACTAATGATGTAAGAGCTCACTACGTGCCAAAATTCACTTTTATACTCGTTTTTCAGTGCTTTAATATTTGTAACTTAAATTTTAAAACTCATTTACAAACACTACTGTAACTTCAGTGAAACTGAATTGTGTGATTGAAGCTTTTTGCTTATATAGTATTTATTACACTACTTAATTCAGTAAATATATAAAAGTAGTCTTCAATTTATTTTTATATTATTTTACATGTTTTTACCTGCAGTTGTGTATGTGAATTTACCTTGGTAATTGAGATGTAATGCTAAGGACCAATAAACTTTCACTGAATAAGCAAAGCCTCCCTTCATAGCCTGCCCTATAGACTAAGTACCACGGTGTCCCTGGGGTGGAGTTGAGAAGGCCCGGACCAGGTCTGGGGACCATCCCTTAGCCCCTGCTGGGGCTTCTCTTTGCTGGGGCTAACATTCCCCTCTCCAGACCCCAGAAGGGCCGGCAAAGAATAAAATTTATATGAAGAAACCACCTTGGCTTGAGGGGTGGGCACTTGGGGAGTCCCAGAACCCTGAGAGGGGCTCAGGAAACCAGCTGTGGGCACGGGAGTCTCCCGTGCTGCCAGAGAAAAGCCCTCCCACCCCCACAGTTCCTGGGGGCCCTCCTCTTGGACCGTGGTGCCTGGGTGCGGGGTGCCTGTTCGTGGCCACCAACATCCCGCCCCCCCCCCCCCCCCCCC